AATTTTAGATGACAGTATTTTTGTTTGATATATTCTAGATTTTTTTCTTAAGGAATTATTGTGACAAGATTTAAATAAAAAAATTAAGTTCAGTATGTAATCAAGGATTTTTTCAACTCTGACACATATTTTCAAGTTTGTATGAAGATTGAAAAATGGGAGGGCAACTTTGCCATAAGCGTAAATTTTGCTATTTGCAACACAATTAAAGAAGCAAATCATAACTCTGGGTGTAGTGTATTATATTATGAGGTGAACCTTCAACCTTGAAGTCAAATCCTATTATTTTCATTATAAGCCCTGATGGCAAAGTTACCACAAAGTGACGTTAATTTTGCCATTTTCTATTTTGGAGTATTTGGTCTATTTAATGTTAGTATTTGTTTAAATCACCAAATCTATAAAGAATATAATGTCACATTTAACATTGACGCCCAGTCTGACCACAGACTAACTAGTAGATTCTACCCGAATCTGAGTCTGAAGTCTGAGTCTGATAGTACATTTTTTGTTGGAAAATTTCTCTTAAATTTTTTTAAGTCCTTCCAAAAATGGCATAGTTGCCAGGTTTCACGGTAATTATTTTTATTTATTTTAATATTTCGCAGTGAAAACGTTTTCAATGTAGTAATGAATTATCCTTGTAGTGTAATGGCGTAAAGAAACCTAATCATGGTAATATATAGAAATTCACTATATGTATCAGCGTCATGATATAAAAGAAACTCGAATCTAAAATGTGAGATTTTCTGTATTGTAATCCCATCTTTCCAATCCAATTTATGTCCAACGGTGGACATCTACGGATTCTGATTGCCGCTATTAGTGAAGTTAAGTAATTATAATAATATAAATATTTATGTAATAAAGTTCTAACAATTAATGATATTAAAAAAAAGTAAGTAAAATTTGTAAGTTTGTGAGTTGGTTTGTAGGAAGTAATCTCTGGAACTACTGAACCGAGTTTAAAAATTCTTTCACTAGTAGAAAGCTACATTATTCCTGAGTGACATAGGCTATATTTGATTGTGACTAATAATATTTTAATGTGAAATAACAATATTTGTCAATGAATTCCGAAAATAAATCCTAAACATTCAGTACTAAGAACCACACAAGATAATTTCATCACAAGTTAAAATGTTCGACGCCTATTAAAGTGGGCACGGATCAGCTAGTGGAATTGTGATTGCCGAAATTTTATGATAATTTTCGGCTTCTCTCATTTGCATTTTCTTGGTAAAACATAACGATGAAGTAGCAAAAGTAAACACAGTTAGGTTATTAACAAAGTTGTTATCTATCAATAATATTTTTTAATGTGAAATAACAATATTTGTCAATCAATTCCGAATATAAATCCTAAATACTCAGTACTAAGGACTGTTTACTTGTGATGAAATTATCTGGTGTGGTGAGAACCACACAAGATGATTTCATCACAAGTAAAAATGTTTGACGCCTAGCAAAGTGAGCACGGATCAGCTAGTATGGTATAATCTAAAAATTAAAGTTTCTGGTTATTAGTGCACGCCTTGCAATACATAACGCAGTGTTGGTACCGACTTTGTTATATGGCAGCGAAACCTGGGTATGCCAGAAGAAGCATAAAAGTAAGTTGAATGCAGTGGAAATGCGATCTCTTCGTAAAATGTGCGGCGTTACCATGGCCGACCGAAAGCAAAACGAAGATATTCGCAATATGGCAGGTTTGAAAGCTGACCTTATCACTGTGTGCTTCGATGGTTTGGGCACGTTGAGCAAATGAGTGAAGACCGAATGGTGAAGAAAATATATAGCGCGAAAGTAAATATTAAAAGGTGTCGAGGTAGACCGAGACTAACTTTCGAAGACCATGTGAGCAAATTGCTCGAAGAGGGGAGGGTCAAGAGTACTCGGATACCTAGACGTGCATGTATGAAGAAGATAATGAATCTGAAAGAAGCGAAAGAGGTGTAAGGATCGTGACACTTGGCGATCTGTTCTCTCTGGCTACCCCGTCAGGGATCGTAGTGGTTGATATGTGTCGAAAAGATTATGTGAACTAAATAATTAATTCCCTTGCAACTGTAACCTGGTGAATGGTATAAAAACCTGACCATGATAAAAGCCTAGGTACTCACAATTTAAGCGCCATGGTATAAAAAAACCTGCATTTTGTGATCCTCAATTGATCCTCTCCAGCCGGATTAGCACGCCTTTGACTCCTCTCAATTTATGCTCAGACTATGTACCTACAGCAATGACTTGCTACATTTTGTAATCGCTAAATTTGGTAAAATAATTTAAAAAATATATGGCATAGTATTTTTAAGCAATGTACTGGGTTCTGATAATTAATGTAAATTAATAACACAGATTATTAAGAAAGGTTAATACCATATCGTAATATAGTTCAGGTCTACATGTTCATATAAACTAATAATTTCGAGACTTTATATACTTAAACTTGTAGCCCTTTAGTAATTATTGTAATGGGATGGGGTTTACGGTCTGCTAATTATTGGAAATACTCGAAAAATAAAATCAATCATTAATAAAATAATTCTTTTGTAAACAAACCATTGCGCGTAGGAAAAAGTAAAATGCTTTAAAAACATTGTACAAACACTTATTATCGAGCAAACAAAGTCGTCAGTTCTATGTTACATTAATTGAATGCTAACATGTGTGTAAACTTGGATAATGATGTACCCGAGTGTTTTTTCAAATCAAATTATTCCTCGGAAATTAGTTAGCTACCTACATCATAAAATGCTACGTCGAGCGCCCTTAACAAGGCGTGTTATTAATTTGTTTCGATTCATTGCCTCTGAAGCGACACTGATTGCGTCACATGCAGTCTCAATCAGCGCTTTTTATGGTCGTATTTACAAACTAGCGTTCGAAAACGATTAAAAAAAAATTAAATTATCAATGATTTTAATATGACCGTCCGTCCGTGCACATAACGTGTATTGGGTGTTTGTTAAGCCTTGAAATAATTTTTATTATCTGTTTGCATTTTTTTATTGAAACTTAAGTCTGTGTATATGTTAAAAAAAAAACAAAACTAAAATATTATAAAAGTAAAATAGTAATTAATGATTATTTAAAAGCTAACTAATCGGCTCACCTACATGATGGCGAATAATTAACCGTGTAGTGGTAGCGTAAGAATATGCACTACCCCAAATCGTCCCGTGGGTGTCTAATAGGCGACAGAAGGAAACTGAAACTGAAGATGGGCAGCAGCATCTTCCTGATATCTACTCAAAATAATAAAATCTGCGGTTGCCAATCCGCCTGCCAAATTTGGCAAATCCAAAAAAAATCTCAAACATTGTCCTTTTTATCCTCTAAATTCAAAATGCATTATTTTAACTGATTTGACACTTTGACACACATTCAATTTGGGATAATTCACATTCAATTTGGGATAATTTCAAATAAAAGTAAATACTTTATTTACTCTTGTTTCCAAAAACTATAATAACGTTCTATCATTTTTTATATATTTGAATATAGTTGAATAAAACTACTTTTACCGATTCTATCGCGTTTAATTATACTTATGTTTTAATTCCTGACGTTTTGGGTGCTTTCCAGCACCCACGGGGGACTGAGGTGATTGACGTCCCGATGTCAGAGTTAACCCGGAGTACCTTCAGCTTTTTTAATTATTAGTTTTGGTCCGATCTACGTAGAATGAACTTACTGTGTCTTAAAGTCTTGCAGTGGTATGCTTGGGTTTAGTTTTAATTTTATTAATTACAGGAGGCTGGGTAATTACCACCCAAGCAGTTACCCATACTCCCTCTACTGAAATTAGTATATTTTATAATTTCAATAGACTCACGCATCATCTTTGGCAGGAATCGACGTTCTTTTGCGAGAATTTGTGATCTATCAAATCTAATGTAATGGTGTGGGCTGTCTATGATTTGATCACAAATTACAAACTTCCCGGAACGTTGGTGTTTCACGTCAGCTATGTGTACTTTTACGCGGGATTTAATAGATGGTTTTGTTTGCCCTGTATATGAGAGACCACATTCACAATCAAGCTTGTAGAGGGATATTACACTTGGCGTATGGTAAGAACTGCCTAATATTTTTTGGACTTAAGTTTAAAATTTGGCTACTCTTTGAAAAATATCCCTGTATAACTATGTAACTGGTATAGCTTAAGTTTATAAATGTAAATGTTGCTAATGATCCCGTCAAATATCTTGTTCTCGTTATCGCGAAATACAACATATAACTTTCATAATTAATGATCCCCAAAACCCTTTCAATGCGGTTAGCATTAATTTTAATGATTTATGTTATTTTTCTTACCTCTTATTTAGAGGACTTTTGAAGTTCTAAAATCGTTTTGCACTAATTGTTATAGCAATTTTATGTTGTATTTATCTGGTGTATATGAGACATAAACACATTTTTTAATATAAAAAAAATAAGTTTTAATTTTAATTGCGAGTAGTCCGTGTAGAGGTTTCTTGTTTATTCATTCTAGAAATATAATACAATCTTCGAATATAAACCTCGTAACGATTGAAATATCAATAATCTGGTGTGGACAAAACAACACTTTGTTTTCCCTTTACACCTTACTTAATTCAAAAAAACTATTCTAGATGATAATTAAACTATTTATCAATCGAGGTTTTCTGTTCAAAGATTTGGACTTAAATTCTTGTTAGGCGTGACACTATTGATAATTTAAGCATACATTTACCATATATGTATAAATTTGCATAAATTCGGATTGGTATGGATTTCGCTATTCCAACGCAAAATAGAACTAAATTAACATAACATAATGATTATACGAGTAGTTATAATCTTGAACTGTTCAGCACTTAAATGTTCAAGTAATAATGCTAGTGATGCCGACGGAAATCAAATTTGCATTGCTCACAAACTGTAATTTAAGACGTGTGTCCAGTTTTAAACCTATCTATGTTGAAAGTAGATCCGGTCCAGCTATTAAAAACTTTTCTTTTCTTTTCTTACAGAGACGGGGAGCACGGATAAGAGCAATGGTATGAAGGAACCGGGATCACCTGAGGAATTGGTATGTTTTTTTTTTTACTATTTTTGCATTGCGTGTGTTCGTAATTCCTCTCCTCTTTAGCGGCTTGACTGATTTTGATAAAAACATTATAGGGTACTTATCGAGTAACCAGAACGGTTTTTAGATATAGTTACGCGCGGTAGGTAGCGCTGTTGTCGGGATTCAAAATCATCGGGGCGGATCACTGGTTTTTATATAAATACTAGCTCGCCAGGCAGACATTGTTCTGCCCTTTCCGAACTACCATTTGCTTTCCCAAAAAAACTCCTGAAATTAGCAGTAAAAAAATTGAGGGTCACTTATCGGGATAAAAACTATCCTATCTCTCAAGTTAGACCAAACTGCACACAGTGTGTAAAATTTAATTGAAATCAGTTCAGTAGTTTAGGAGTTCACCGCGGACAAACAATGTGACACGTAATTTTTATATATAAAGAAGATAAACCTCGACCGGACATTGGAATGAATCTATCAAATATTTATCTTGTAACCATCGCGTTAAGGCCTAGTTGATGTTGTGGTCACGGAATATGAAACATGCAACGCGCAAACTTGAAACGCACGTGCAATGAAACTAGCGGGCGAACTCGCGGGAGACGCGCGTGGCACGCCAAGTCCATGTCGAACTAGCGGCGAAACACGTGATCCGCACGCAGTAGCAAGTGAATTCAATTGGTTTGTATTTATCGCTTGTGACGAAGCTACATAGCTACCAGTCATTGCAAACAGCCTTTAACTCTTTAATAATAGAAGAGTTAGTCGACATTGATCAAATAAAATCTGATTAGACATTACCTAAAAAGTTAACATTACAGTATATCTAAAAACTTTGAAAGGATATTCTCTCAACCTGTTATACAAACATTTTTTATAGCATAAATCTTGACCAATCAGCACACAGTCCACCTGATAATAACTGGATTCTATGGCTCATAGAATCTAGTTATTCCATCTACATCCATCCTCGATTAAGAATCATGATGCTGATGCGTTGTCATCCCTGAGAACCAAGATAGAATGCCTCGTTTCCAGTGAAAAGGGTCTCCGGTTTTCTGCACTTACCATACGAAACACAGCAGCATTAATCTGCTACTTCACGCTGGTATTATGTAAGAGCGTGGTCATTCCGCAATTGAGTCATCTCATTAGTGCTACAACCATAATATAGTTGCAGCATGGCTCTACCATGTAATTATTAAATTCAGCATACTGCTCTCTTCTTGCCTCTTTCGTTACCTGTCTATTCTACTCATAGTCTAATATTAGTCTAATATTAAAAGTAATTTAATATTTTAGTTATAGATACGCTAGGAACACGGTGAACAAGACCTAGACCAACAACCCAAACATACAATATTATGATTTCATGAAAATTGATACCCTAACTCAACTCTTTACAATTTCAATAAAAGTGTCTATTAAAACAAAAAATACTCACACAATATTTTAAAAATTTTACTAACTCTGTAAAAGAAGTTCTACTCTTAGTAAGATTTATGGATTCAGCTCACGTTTCACAAATGATATAATAATCCTCATCACTGGCGACACGGTTCGTCCAATCGGATTGATCTTTAGCGAGGGAAATTCTTGAGGCATCACAAATCAATCGAATTGAATGACTCGTTTGCGGGTTCCCTTGCCGAGGCATTCGGATTATGTATTATTGTATCGTTTGATGTTTTTATACGTTATAAATTGTATCGATGGCACCATTATAGCTGTGAATGCCAAAGTATTTTCAAAGATATCAGGTTTTTTAAATAAATTATTTTTAAGGATGTTAAAGAATTTATGTTGATAGATATATCATATAATGTAGCTGATATTAAAGTAGGGAATATAAAATAATAAAATATTTTTTTTTTATGTATGAACCTTATTATTATGGTTTGATAATACTTTTTTTATAGGAGAGAGGGCAATCGAGCATACGGCTCCCCTGATGGTAAGTGATTATCGCCGCCAATGAACAACTACAACACCATGGATATTGCAGATGCGTTGCCGGCCTTTTAAAAAGGAGTACGTCCTTTTCTTGAAGGTTCCTAAGTCGTAGCGGTCCGGAAAAATCTCTGGTGGTAGTCGATTTCACGAGGAAGTTGTGCGAGGAAGAAAACTTCTTTTAAATCGCACAGTGGTGGATCGCCAGTCATCCAGATGGATAGTATCGCGAGTTTTGTCGCGATGTACGATGGTGAAATTGTGCGGCTGGAATCAGTCCAAACAATTCCTCAGAGCACTTTACGTGGTAAATGCGATAAAATACGCAAAGAGATGCAACATCTCTTCGCAGTGCCAGTGAGTCAAACTGATCGGAAAGAGTTCGGTCGCCGACGATTCGAACAGCTCCGCGCTGGATGCGATCAAATGGAAGGAGACCCAACCAGCCCAGAGATGGGAACAGTATTCCATGTGCGGCCAAACCTGCGCCTTGTAAAGTTGCAGACGGTGTGCCGGCATGAAATACTATCCCGCTCTCCTGAGCACGCCAAGCTTTTTAGAGGCTAAAGGGTTTGAATGAAGTCCCCCGATGTTGCAAAAATTCACGGATGGCTTGGCAAGGGGCTTCTTTGACTTATTGCTCCATTTGGCCCGAGCAGGTTTAGTCTCGAGCGGAATTTCACCCTGCAGCCTGAGCACCCTAGCTCAGGAAGAGTAGAGTAGCTTGGACGTGGATTCTCAGCGAGGGATTCTCCGTCACCAGGGGTGCTGGTACTCCTGGGGTAAAGGTGTATTATTTAACTCCACTATGTTAAGGGGGGTGGAGGAATTGGGCCTCCGGCTACCTGCACTCACCAGACGGAATGCAAAAGCAGAGCTCCTACTTCACGCTGGTCTTCTGTGAGGTCCTGATACCACCCCGGTTCGAGCTGGCCCATACGTGCAACAGCAAAGGCTGCCGCGTGGCTCTGCCAGTGGTAAGACGTATGAAGAAACACATAATTAAGACAATACCTTCGATATTTTCGATTTCAGCGCAAGTAAAAAACAAAATTTGGACTTAAATGTTTTTCATAAAATTAAAGTGACAAACAAACTAACAGGCCACCTGATGATAAGTGGCTCCTGCGGCCTCTGGACATCTGCAACCAACATCAGATAGAGAAGCCTACAGATGTGTTACCACCCGTGAAAGGTAAATTGGAATGGGCCTCACACCTTTAGACCGAAATACAGCAGTGCACTGCTGTTTGCGTAACTATAAACACAGAATAATAAAATAGTAGTAATAGTACAGTACAGGTGCTATAAATTAAAACTTTCTGACAAAAGATTTATAAAAAAAAAAAAAAATAACCTTGTCTTATCATTTTATATAAAGGTTTTAGTGTAAACTTTAAATGTAATGCAACGTCTAGGCCAAATACTTGTTAGCTTAGTACAAAGTATACAGGGTTATTTTGCAATAACCGGCCAAATTTGTAAGGAATGTTCAGAATAAGTTGTATAAGCAAATTGTGAAAAAAAAATTAAAATAATCTCAAACATTCCGTCCTTTTTATCTTTTAAATTCAAAATGCGTGGTAATGCATTATTTTAACTGATTTTACTGCGCACGCACACATTCGTAAGAGTCGATCGGTAGGCAAAAATGTTGTTAGCCATAAATTACATTCAATTTGGGATAATTTCAAATAAAAGTAGTAGCGTTGTTAACGGTATATCATTATTTATATATTTGAACTTAAGTTTATAATTTGGCTACTCTTTGAAAAATAACCTTGTATAATCAAGAATTTAAGAGGCAATAAAAAAATTAAGATACATTTTAGTAATATTTTATATATATTCATTGGTATAACATAAACTACTATATAAATAAATTTAATATTACTAAAAGTGTTCGCTTACCGGAAACATTCCGTACTTTACGCTATATGCACACACACATGCTATGTTACAAATAGTTTCAAAGTTGGCTGGTCACTGCTTGTTTGGTATGTCTATATAAATTCCAATTAGTAAATTTAAACTTCCACGCGAGATTTTTGACATGTTACTGAGATATACGTGGAAAAACACGTCATAATGAGATTACACTTGTGTTATTACGCTATAAATACAAGAAATAGAGAAAATATATAATAATAATAAAAGACGACTCCGTAGCACAGTGGCTTGGCAATGCCAAGGCTAAGGGGTTCGAATCCCGCACGGAACCAGTATTTGTATGGCCTACAAATAATTGTTCTGGCTCTGAATGTTTGTCCTTCTGAAATCCATGTATGTTAACTGCCCCCGTGATACAGGAGAAAATCCTAGTGTGGAGGTAACGTTAAAAAAATACAATAAATAAACGTGTGAGAGGAAAGCTGTTTTACGGTAGCAGCACAATGTTACGGTGCGATCACGCTCTAACTGTGCCAGCATAATATAATCTATATTAGTATAATCATGCCATTTTTCGTGAGTGATTAAATCCGAAAATCCTTTTTAGTTTTTTTTTTATAGAATAAGGGTGACAAACGAGCACACAGTCTACCTGATGGTAAATGGTTGCTGTGGGCCAGAGACATCCACATCTATCTTCGTTTGCGAATTAAAATGCAGATGCGTCGTCAGCTGTGAGGACTAAGATAGAATGCCCCTTTTCCAGTAAAAAGGGTATCCGGTTCTCTACACTCACCATACAAAACACAGCAGCATTAAGCTGCTATTTTACGTCGGTATTCTGTGAGAGCGTGGAAGGATCCCCAGTCGAGCTGAACCATTCGTGCTACAATTATACTATTAATATAGCTGTAGCATGGCTCTAATACGTATTAAGTTATATGTGTGTTCTCGCTTGCTTTAGTGGTCTCGCTAGCCGTTAAAGGTAGTGCAGTTGCCTTTTTATTCTAGATAGAAGAAGATGTAAGGCAAGAGTGTATATGCTTTTATTAATCCTGAGTCACTGAGCTTTACCATCTTCGCCTGCATCACCACAAACCATTACCATTACAATAGGTACTATTACAGCTCATCAAAAGTCCACCGCGGAACACAGGCCTCCATCATAGATCCCTCATAGTGGGAATATTTGCTGTATTTGTAAGGCTTGGCAAGCGGGTTGGCAAGTGTCTTACATTTTTGAGTTGTTATCAAAACACCATCAGGGTAGGAGACAAGCACTCGCTTATAATATTAAAAAAACCCTACTAAGTGCGAGTTGGACTCGTGTATGAAAGGTTCCGTACCACCATACAACACGTTTCTAGTAAGGGGAGGGGTTATTTTTAATTTATTTTTATTGTTTGTTGTTGTAGCGGAAATAAACGCTGTGTGAAAATTTAAACTGTCTGCATATTATAGATCATGAGATAAAGCCCGCTGATAGACACAGACGGACGGACGGACGAACAGCGGAGGTTTAGTAATAGGGTCCCGTTTGTTACCCTTTGGGTACGTTGTTGTCCGTTAGTCTCGCTAAGACTCGAAAATGGCTCAACCAACGATGAAATTTTTTGTGTGTTTGTATATTTACGAATTAGGTATACGAAAATTTGAACCCGATAGGTGACGCTGTTGTCGCGATCCAGAAATCACTTGTGCGAAGTCTGGGCAGATCGCTAGTAATATATAAAAGAAAATAGTAAAACTGTTGAAAGCTCAGTATAAGTAAAATACTTTTTAACGGGAATCTGCACGTCCCTGCCACATAATTTATTTTGTATTGACAATTCTGAAATGTAAGGTAAAAACTTTAAATTCGACCTTAATATTTCATTTATCGTATTTTACGGGGCAGGTAATTAGTTAGCAGTATCATGTTAAGTATTTGTTTAAATCATTACTCGATACCAAATCTATAATGAATATAATGTCACATTTAACATTGACGCCCAGTCTGACAGTACATTTTTTGTTGGAAAAGTGATATTAAAGTTTTAAGCCCTTCCAAAAATGGCAAAGTTGCCAGGTTTCACAGTAATTATTTTTATTTATTTTAATATCTCGCAGTGAAAACGATTACAATATAGTAATTTAATGGCGTATGCTTGTAGTGTAATGGCGTAAAGAAACCTAATCATTGTAAAGTATTAAAAACTCACTATATGTATAAGCGCCATGATATAAAAGAATCTCGCATCTAAAATGCGAGATTTTTTGCATTGGAATTCCATCTTTCCAATCCAATTTATGTCCAACGATGGATTTCTGCGGATTCTGATTGCCGCTATTAGTGAAGTTAAGTAATTATAATAATATAAATATTTATGTAATAAAGTTCTAACAATTAATGATATTAAAAAAAGTAAGTAAAATTTGTAAGTTTGTGAGTTGGTTTGTAGGAAGTAATCTCTGGAACTACTGAACCGAGTTTAAAAATTCTTTCACCAGTAGAAAGCTACATTATTCCTGAGTGACATAGGCTATATTTGATTGTGATTAATAATATTTTAATGTGAAATGTTTTTTTTATAGGATAAGGGTGACAAACGAGCACACAGTCCACCTGATGGTAAGTGGTTGCTGCGGCCCATAGACATCTACATCTATCCTCGTTTGCGAATCGAAATGCAGATGCGTTGTCACCCGTGAGGACTAAGATGGAATGCGTCATTTCCAGTAAAAAGGGCCTCCGGCCACCTGCACTCACCAAACGAAACGCAGAGGTAAACCTCTACTTCACGCTGGTATTCTGTGAGGTCGTGGTACCACCCCGGTTCGAGCCGGCCCATCCGTGCGACAGCAAGAGCTGCCGCGTGGCTCTACCACTGTTAAAATAACAATATTTGTCAATCAATTCCGAAAATAAATCCTCAACATTCAGTACTAAGAACCACACAAGATAATTTCATCACAAGTAAAAATGTTTGACGCCTAGCAAAGTGGGCACGGATCAGCTAGTGGAATTGTGATTGCCGAAATTTTATGATGACTTTCGGCTTCTCTCGTTTGCATTTTCTTGGTAAATCATAACGATGGAGTATTAAAAGTAAACACAATTAGGTTATTAACAAAGTCAAAAAGAATTCGATTAAATTAATTACATAATTTGTACCCTTAACCCTTTCGCTGTCCCTTGGACTACATATAGGTCGTTGCTATTATCTTACTATTGTGCCTGAAAATCGGACAGTGAAAGTGTTAAATAACTTCTGTGTAAACTACTTTTTAAAGATCAGTATTTTCATTGGTAAAGTTTAAAAATTACCATCTATTATTCCCCGAAAAATTGCTATGATACATATTAAACAGCTCTCTAGACAAAGCTCAAAGCTAAAAATAATTTTAATACTATCTTTATGAGTCTCCACTTTATAATAACCATTCCATTCTAAATAACGAGTAGTTAAGCTTTGATTTATTTTCGGGAGCATTTTCATTAAGGGGTCTGGTTATTATTTTGATTAAAAAAATACCCACGAAAATAAATCATTTTTTTAATTTTATTTATTAGGTTCACCAACGTTTATTCACATTATATTGCAGAGTTCTTATACAGGGTTATTTTTCAAAGAGTAGCCAAATTTTAAACCTAAGTTCAAATATGACATACTTTTATTGCAGTTTTTGAAAATTAGGCTTCTACTTTTATTTGAAACTATCCCAAATTGAATGTGGTTTATGGGCAACAACGTTTTTGCCTACCGATAGACTTTCAGGAATGTGTGCGTGCGCAGTAAAATCAGTTAAAACAATGAAATGCCACGGATTTTAAATTTAAAAGATGAAAAGGACAGAACAATTGATATTTTTTTTAATTAGTTTTCCTTTACCATAGGCCTATATTACTTATTTTGAACCTTCTCTGCAAATTTGGCCGGTTATTGCAAAATAACTCTGTATAATTCGTTCTGAGCTAAATTTGATATGCAAATACAAACTATACTTGCGCTTATAGAAAGTAAACACTAAACAGTGAAAACAGAGTTATAATTATTATATGCAAGAAAAATAGAAAGGAAAAAATAACAAAAACTAAAAACTCTCTTTTTATTTTTATTATTAACAATTCTATTCTTTTTAGTATTTTAAAGTCAGCATTCATTTTTGTGTTTAATTAAGGAACCTTAGATTAATAATAACTTATCATTAATCTAAGTAAAGAATAAAACAACACACAGTGTCACAAGCTCAAAGCAACAACTAGGTTATCTAAATAGTAACATAAAAACGTCATCCCCTATTTTTCAATTGAAAAAGATGAATTTTCACAAAGCGCTTCTTTCAAAGCTGCCTTCCTATGGGCTTCCCGAGAAATTGTGCAATTGGATCACCAGCTTTCTTGCAGATCGGAGCATCAAGGTCGCTGTAGACGGTGCATGTTCTGACTACAAGCCTATTAACGCTGG